GTAGGGAAAACAGGTTAATATGTACTCATTCTTTAGTTTTATTACAGCTTTTTTTTATATACAATATTGTGAAGGTAAATCTAAAACGCACAACATACCATATATATTTATGAATACTAGGGGTGCAACGGTTCTCGGTAAAAAAATCGAACCGTACGGTTCTCCACACACGGTTCGGCATGCACTAGGACCGCGGTTCAAATTAAATCTGACAATGCATCTGTAATATGGTTTGTTAGAGTTCGGCTAATGCATGTTTCTGTTGATGGATACAAATTCTGGCTTCCCAATACATTACAACAAGAGCGATGAGAGAAAAACAAACAATACGTGGACAAACAGTCACTCTTTAATCAATGCAAGTGCTGTATGCTGGAATAACTGTCATTTATGCCGTCATAACGTGTTGATAGCGCAGGTGAGACATTCTCTTAAAGTGACAGCACTTTCTTAAAGTTAATTAAACAGCAACAACACGGAAATCACTCACTGCTCTTAATTGAATAACTTTTGTAACTTTAATAAAGAATTTTGCCAACAATTCCGTCAGACTAATAAGAGAGATCCAAAGTGCAGTCATAAATGAAAATGATGTGTTCGCAAATATAAATTCTGTCAGTATTTCCACTATAGACATGAGTTTTGAGAGGACATCAACTGACTATGAAACAACTCTACAAGGTGCCATTTGAGAGGAATAGTGAATGAAGGAGCTGCAGTATCAGTATGCGGTATCTGTATAAGTCTTTTTCTGTGTAGTACTAACTCTTACCAGTAAATCTTTACCTACTGTAAGCTTTGTAACATTTTGTATACTACAGTAAGCAGTCAGTCTCATAAAAAAAGTAGAACATGCATGAACTTTGTATATAACAATACTTTCCACGGTTGACTGTCATGGTGAGAAAACATCTAAACATTTTGATAAGTGTGCCTCATGCAATGACAAAAACACTTTCTATTTTGGTGGCATTGGCCAATTTTCTGACACAATAACTAGTTTTTGAAATATGAATTAAATGTTTTGGGTTACTACATTTTGCAGGCATGCAAAATATTCAGATAATATTCAGATATTTGCAGAGTGGTCTGGGGTGGGGTTCCACAGAACAGCTAAAATATATTTTATTTACCGACCGACTGACAGATGCAAATCAGCATATTAGAATGATTTCTGGAGGATAAAATGACACTGAAAACTGGATTTATAGATGATGGAAATTCAGCTTTGGCATCACAGGAATAAATTACATTTTAAAATATATACAAATAGAAAACAGTTATTTTACATTTTAATAATATTTCACAATATTACCATTTTTACTGTTTTTATTATTATTATTATTCCAAACTTTTGACCAGTGTTCACACTAAGTATATGTCTGCTTCCTCTGATGAGCTTGACAAAGTACTTTATCTTTAGTTAAGAGCAATGCCTGAGGAGGCTGTTTATCATTTTATGGATTACTGGTAAGATCCTAAGGTTATTTAACGATTAGTTTTCCACAATACAAAAATTGTGCTTCAGAATATTTCTGTCTGATGTGACTGCTAATTTTGCACATAGAGAAGATTCAGTGTGTCAAGTGATCTGAAATCTCTCTCATGAATGTGTGCATTCATTGTGATCTTATAAATGCATTTATAATATTTAAATGATAAATTATGCAAACATTTTTGCAGAAATTTGGACAACAATCAAGTCAAGTCACCTTTATTTTTATAGTGCTTTATACAATACTGATTGTGTCAAAGCAGCTTTACAGTGTAAAACAGGAAAACAGTTTGTCAATAATGCAAGATGACAATAACAAAGTCATTTTTTCAGCTATAGTCAGTTCACTGATGATTCAGTGATGTCATCATCCAATTCAGCTCTCTTCCTGTCTGTGTCTGTGCAATCAGTTAAGAGTCCCCAACTAAGCAAGTCAAAGGCGACAGTGGTAAGGGACCAAAACTCCATCGGTCACAGAAATGGAGAAAAAAACCTTGGGAGAGACCAGGCTCAGTCGGGGAGCCAGGTCTCCTCTGGCCAGACGAAACTAGCATGGCATGGTTTAATTCCAGGCTGCAACACAGGTCAGATTGTGCAGAGGACTTGTCTGGTTCCCGTGGTCTTGTGCCGATGGCCATCGAGGTGACGAGGTCTTCACAGGGGATCTGTCTCTGGGGCGCATCTTGACATGGTCTCTGCTGACATTCAGAGCTGTAGAGCTCATCTCTAGGTGCTGATCCACCATCTGGACTGGATATGGACTGGATCTGGGTGGCCACGGTGACCATCTGATCTGGATACAGACTGGATCTGTATGGCTACAGTGACCTCGGAATAAGAATGAAAGAGACTAATATTAGCGTTGTTGCCATTTTTCTTACAATGTAATGAGTACATCGGGTGTTAACATCTACAGAGAATCCTAATCCTTGTGTGGTGTTCATATTTTTGCTATTCAGCCAGTGTTTGTGGGTCTGGTGGACCCTCAGCATTTTTGGGTTTTTAATTCAACACAATCAAAAATGTTATGTTAAATTACTCAACAGATGTTTACTTCATCCAAATTACAAGCAATATAAACAGAATATATGGGTAATATTTGCTCTTTGCCTTTGTTAGATCACATTTATGAATTAAAGTGCTACAACCTTGTGCGGGAATGGCAGGGGCAGAAACACAAAACTTACACTTACACCTTCACAGTCTCTTTCTTAGTCTCTCTCTCTCTCTTACACTCACTCACTCACTCACTCACTCACAGCAGGCCCAAACAGGAGGAGGACAGAGTGAAGGTACACAGGACCTACAAATTCCACACTTTTATTAGCCCCGGGTCCAGCGGACCTGAACATCCTGTATGTAATATAAATGTGTAGGGGGTGTACAGTGTGTGGTCATTTGAAAATTTGTTCTGATATATGTTCTTCACAGAAAATGAGCCAAGGCCAATGAGTCTGAGTTTGAAAGAAATTATTTATCATATAATTTTTTGTTTTGATACAAAATGTAGGCAGACTTTTAAAACTGACATTTTAAAAACTATTTCCTGTCCTTCCTGGGCTAGGGCTTCTTGCCCTCTAAGAGGTGTTTGGCTGTTGCATCTTTAAGGCCCCGATATACTTCAAGCGAAATCGAAGAATAAACTGATGTGACAATTTCGAACAAAATCAGGCCAAAACAAAGTTTGTTTTGGGAGTTTGAAACGACTTGCCAAAGCGAACTTTCCGGAAAAGTTCGTTCAGGCTGCAAAACACCTTGTCGCCTTCTGATTATATTGACTCTCACACTACACACACTTCCACATGTAACCATGGACTACATTTCCCATACTCCATTTCACTGATTACGTTTACACCTGCAGCCAATTACACCCACTATAAGAATCAGTCTCAAACAACCATTCACTGCCGAGTATTGTATGCATGTATCGCTGTTCTGCTGATAGCATTATTACGGAGCCAGTTTCCTAGTTCAGTCAAGTCATTGCCCTGTCTAGCCTAGTCATGTTTTTGGATTTCGCCTGTCTTGGATTAACCCTTTGGATTACCCAATGTTTGGACATTGTTCGCCAGAGATATTCCACTACTGTGGTCGGAATAAGGAAATTAAGAAACATTACAGTATAAAACTGGCAAAATGGAATGTAAGGACTCTCCTGGAATCATATGGTATCTCTGACAGACCTCACTGGAGAACAGCCCTGATTGCAGCTGAGTTGAGCCACTAGAACATCGACATGAGTGAGACCAGGCTCCTGAATGAAGGCTCTCTAACAGAGGATGGGACAGGTTACACCTTCTTGGCCATCAAGAACATTATCCAGGCCAAGGAATGCTTTTATCAGGCACTGGATGAAGCTCTTTGCCGGTTCACTAAGAGAGACAAGATCCTCTTGCTTGGGGATTTCAACGCTAGGGTGGGACAGAACAACAGGATATGGAGTGGAGTAATAGGTAAGCATGGCATTGACAGGGTGAATGCAAATGGCATGAGGCTACTGACTCTTGTTCTGAGCATAACCTTACCATAACCAACACCATCTTCTAGCAGAAGACAAAATATAAGACCTCTTGGATGCATCCTCGTTCCAAACATTGGCACATGATTGACTTCATCATTGTGAGGTGTAGTGACATCAAGGATGTTCTCATCACTTGTGCCATGAGAGGTTCAGAGTGCTGGACCAGCCATCATATGATTGTAGCCAAGTTCCATATGAAAGTGTGCTTCCCCTTGTGGTGGCAAAAGCCCAATAAAAAGAGACTAAATTGTAACCGCTTGGGAAACATAGAAGCAAGAGGTGAGTTTTGACGACTCCTAGCTGAGAAACTAAGGGAGTCAGAACCTTGTCTGAGCTCAGGAAACACCATGGAACAACAGCGAGCCTATATTAGCTCTGTGCTCTATGATGTAGCAGCCCAGTCCATCGGCTATAAGAGCAGGAACCACCAAGACTGGTTTGACGATAACTCAGACACCATCCACAACTTGCTTAAGAATATGCACAAAGCACACAGGACAACTTTTGACAACCCTTTATCCACCAAGAGAAGACAGCATTGGCAGGTAGTTTGGAGGAAAATGCAAAGGGAAATACGAACCATAAAGAATGAGTGGTGGACTGAAAAGGCATATGAAATCCAGTTCTTTGTTGATAAAAATTAAATGTATAATTTTTATAATGCTGTCAAAACCATCTATGGACCAACAAATCTTTGCGTCACTTCCCTGAAAACAGCAGATGGTCTAACACTTGGGTACATATGTATGCGCACCCTCTACCGGTACATCACCAAGGCCTGGACTGATGAGAACATCCCACAGCAATGGAGAGATGCAAACATTGTTGTCATCTATAAGATCAAGGGAAACAAGGCCATTTGCGGCAATAGTAGGGGCATATTCTGCATATTCATAGAACTCCTTTCTGTTGGTGGTAAAGTCCTGGCCAAGGTGCTGCTTCAGAGACTCATTAACAATATCACTGAGTGAATGCTGCCTGAATCACAGTGTGGATTTAGGAAGAATAGAAGCACGATCGACATGATATTCACGGCCCGGCAGCTTAAAGAAAAGTGCCGGGAGCAACACCAGGAGATGTTTATGGTCTTTGTCGATCTCTCCAAAGCATTAAACACTGTGCAAAGACAGCTTTTAGGGGATGTACTCCTCAGGTTTGGCGGTCCCAATAAATTTGTTAACATCCTCTGCCAGTTCCATGATGTGTCCGAGCCCTTCCTTGTACACACAAGGGTGAGACAGGGGTGTGTGCTAGTGCCAGTGCTCTTTAACATCTTCCTCCTCTGTGTCACCAAGATTCTCCACAACGAGACTGAAAACAGCAGTGGACTTCAGACTAGATGGCAACCTCTTTAATATTAGGAGGCTACATGCAACCACAAAACTCTGTAGAGAGCGGGTCCTGGAGCTGCAGTATGCAGATGACTGTGCTTTTGTGGCTCATACTCCAGAGGATCAAACTGTCCTTGCTGTGGCAGTGAGGGCACACAGCAGGATGGGGATGACTGTCAATACCACCAAGACAGAAGTGGTTTACCAATGGATTACCAATGTGCCACCCACACTACCTGCCTTTACTGTTGGGGATGAACAGCTGTCAGTAGTGCCATCTTTCAAATATCTGGGGAGTTTTCTCGCTGAGGATAGCGGCATCGACAATGAAATCCAGAGCTGCATTAAACAGGTATCAGCTGCCTTTGGGAGACTTTGGTGCACAGTCTTTCACAACAAGAACCTTCATCCCTCCACAAAGGTCACCATATACCAAGCGGTATGTGTCACCACCCTCCTTTATAGCTGTGAAGCTTGGATAACCTATAGCTGTCACATCAAGTCCTTAGAGAACTTCCACATAAGCTCTCTTCAGTGCATCCTGGGAATTACCTGGCGTAATCGTGTGCATCAAACTGAAATACTTAAAAAGACCAACTGCAGAAGTATTGAGTCCATGATCATCCAGGGCCAGCTACAGTGGTTGGGGCATGTGATAAGGATGCCCCCATGTCGGCTGCCCCGTAGAGTACTATACGGCCAGCTACATCTTAGTCGACACTCAGCTGGGGGCCAACGAAGTGCTATAAGGATCCGATTAAGTACTCCCTAAAGAAGTATAATATCAGACCTGATGACCTGGAGGTTGTTGCTGCTGACTGTACCATCTGGCAACAGCTATGTAGAGATGGTGTTCTTATGCTGGAGATAGAGAGGACAACCAGGAGACAGTAGAAGCGAGCCAGGAGAAATACAGCCATGACTGTCACCGCTACCACCACCATCACATATATATGCCCCACCTGCAATAGAGCTTGTGGGTCCAGGATAGTACTGTTTAGCCATCAAAGATCTCACCGTTATGGCGCAGATGTCATCATCGGATTTCGATGGAAAACTAAAGATGCTTGAGAAACTCCGTTGCTGCCCCGGAAAAACAAATTGCATCCACTGTTAACACAACACTGAATAAGGTTATCTTTTCCTCACATCCAAAAACACACTCTTTAGAGTTATTAGGCTTGTTTGACTTGATGTGGCGCCGCAAAGATCGCCCGCCAAAAACAATGCACCCTGGCTACATTAAAATACTTTTGTCCAACCTTGATCAGCGCCGCAGCCGCCCCACGATCACATGTGCATTCAAAGTACCGTGAGAGCAAAACGGGACCAGCCGCCCAGGCCAGGCACCGCAAAAACCTCGATGACGACACACCCCACTCCCACCGGTAAAATGAGACAAGCACGATGTGTGCTGCATGCCCACTCCAACAACTCAATTCCAATGCTCACAAACCTGTGTTTATATACAGTAAAAGCATTTTTAGGTAGTTGCACTGTTATTTTTGAGTCACGCTTCAAAAACACTGACGAAAGCACATACACCCCCACTTAACTGGTACCCAAACAGCACATGTCAATGTCCAACCCATTCATGAACAGATGGCGCCGCACCAAGCAGCACAAAAAGTGCCTCCGTTGCTCATTTAATTAGCTATTGAGCAATGCGAAAACTGCTGATACTACTGCGGGACCTTATATATGAATGCTTAGATAGGTGTCGTATTCCCATAGGTTGATGGGGATCAGCTGAGAGTCAGCTGATGCGAGCTTGACTAACGTGACCTGCCAGAACTAACGCTACGCTTGATTTTCACTAATGCACTGCTCTACCCATCAACTCCTTTTGATGTCTAATGCTGTTTTTCAGCGCTGAGGTGTTTTTCCTGTTGAAAAAAACAGCATATGCTGGTTAGGTATGTTTTGAAGCATGGCAGCTGGTTTGAGCTGGTTTAAACTGGTCCTTAGTTGGTCCTTAGCTGGTTGAGCAACTAGATCCTTGATTTGATTTGGAGAAAGTTAGCATTACGTCACTTGCTTGCCAGTGGATCCTATGCAGTGAATGGGTGCAAACAGTCCAAAGTCCAAACAGCAAAACATCACAATAATCCACACAGCTCCAGTCATCTATATCCATAATATTGCTTTCTCCAGTGCAAAAGTTGTTTCGTCTGAATCAGGAGAAAAATAAGCAAAGATCAAGCACCGTTTACAGGTGAAAACAGTCCAAAACTGTTCTAAACAAATATGTTGGTGTATTGTGATGTGAGAGGATAACAGGAGATGGGGACTTTTTCACTGTGACATTTAGTTAAAATGCTAGAATAATGGATTTGTTTCTTACAAACACACACTTTTTAATTTCACAAGACATTAATTGATGGACTGGAGTCATTTGGATTACGTGTGGATAATTGTGATGTTTTTATCAGGTGTTTGGACTCTCATTATGACGCCACCCATTCACTACAGAGGATCCATTGGTGAGCAATGCTAAATTTCTCTAAATCTGTTTAGACGAAGAAACAAACTCATCTACATCTTGAATGGCCTGAGGGTGAGTACATTTCAGCAACTGATAATTTTTAGGTTAAGTATTCCTTTAAATTGCATAAAACATTGCTAAAAAAACAGCACAGAAAATTCTTCTCCACAGCACGAAAAGCACAAATATCAATATGGGTGGACAGCATGTTTATTTATATGCAGTGGTCAAGTCCATTACAATCTGCTGTGGTTGAATTTGTTGAAGTGGCTGTAATAATATATTGCAGTGGTATGTACAATTTCTAGAGAATAGGCTATCGACAAATCATTGACAAAAGGACTGACCTAAAAACCCCATCTAGAAAGTATGAATAGAGCAAATAAGCATAACACCAAGGCAAACAATTAACCTCAAAGCAACAGAATGATAGGCAGAAACCACTGTAATTAAAGATAACACACTTCAGTGTTAGAAAATGTTGTTCTTTCGAATGGCACAGAAACAGGCTGAGAAATACATTTATATAAAATATACACTGTTCACTAATACACTAACACTAACACACACACTTGCTCATATAGTGAAGCAGGTAGCCAAGTAGAGCGGTTTCTGACATGACTGTGATTCAATCCTTTAAATCCACAGCGGAAAGCAACTCAGCAGAATGCCAGTGTGACTAGAAGACTTAAAAAAAAGAATGAACTGAAATGTTTGTTGCCCTCCATCTCACCAAATTTCCCATGGTGCAAGAGAATGGAGGAATGATTGAGAAATGTTTGCTTGAGTGCTTGTACATGCAAGCATGTGTTTGTGTAAAAGCAGGAGTTGAGGTGATGGTGTGCGTGGGTAGATTCAGTGATTTGGGGTCCCTAAGCAAATTCAAGGTATTTTGCTTATCCTTTTTTTGCTGCCTTGCTCTCATAGTTTGGGGTATTCACCCCTTCACAACTTGTCTATGGAAAAGTGTAGCTAAATTCAGTCAAGCTAAAGTTGTTCTAAAGCCATATTGCCCATTTTTTCCCCCTGGACCACAAAAAAAAAAAAATGCTTACACTTGTCCATTTACTGGTAGTGAATTGTGACCTTTAAAAAAAAGGGTTCGAACATAATCCAATAATTCATAATCCAATGCAATTTGTACCATATTCCAAATCTTCTGAAGGTAGGGTTTGTTTATACTTATTTTGTACATATTTATTTTGTCACATACTGTTTATCACCTACTATATGGTAGGAACGTATGCAATTTCGGATACAGCCTCTGATTGGCCATTGCGTTCAAGAAATCAATAGATATGTCTATGATTGACTATTTTGCTCAACACTGCAAAAATAGTCAATCATAGACATAGTATCTTTTGATTTCTTGAATGCAATGGCCAATCAGAGGCTGCATCCGAAATCACAGAATGTGACAAAATAAGTATGTCCGAATTCAACTAACTCCATCCGGACAGCTGAATCCCTTACAAGTTTCAAGAAACAACTGAAAATTCATCTCTTCTGTGAGCATCTAACTGCCTCCTAAAGGCCTAAATATCTCCTCCTTTCACTTTTTCTTGTAAACTTGTATAACAGGCACTTTTTATTGCCGTCTTATGATGAATCTGTTGTTTTCCTCACTTCCTCAAGTCACTTTGGATAAAAGCATCTGCATGACAGAACACAGACTGGCTGAATGACACTTTCATTTAAGCAGAATACCTCAAATGGTGATCACTGAACTCCAGCTTACTTGTACAGTACTATATGTCAGTGTTTTCAGATCATGGCACTTCTACAGAGAGAGTGCGTGTTAATGGTTGCCAGATTGCACAAAGCAAAAAGCCGGGCAGAGTACATATCCATTCATCAAAAAAGCTCTGATTGGGAGATTTCAGCTCTTGATATCTGGCAACCACAAACATGAACACTCGCATAATAGAGTCTTGTACAGCAGTCTGGAATGTTTTGGCTCCACTTTTTTCAACAAAAATAAAAAGGTTTTGATAAAGTTTTCGTTCTTTTAACTACATTTTAGGCTAGTCTTTTTTCGTCAAGAATATTGCATGTTGATATAGTCTCAGTTATCATTTAATGACCTTATCATCGTCTCATAATAGTCTCATTTTAGTCAGTGGGAAAAACTATGTTGACTAACATTTTTGTCATAGATTTCATTAATGAAATGAACACTATCGAGCATGCAGGCGATGAGCCGCTGTGAGATGCGGATGGATCTTTGAATGAAACATTCCAGGTAGATCACATCATCATAGA